TGCAGGCAGCGGTGAGGAGTAGCAGGAAACAGCCCTGATCCTGTGGGGAGGGGCAGCTTGAGGGCATCTTGAGTACAGGGCGGAGGGGATTTGACTTAATGGGGGTGATGGTTGGGAGCCACTTGAGTTTCTCGAGTAAGACAGTGACAAAGATGCTCTGGGAAGACAGACCCGGTTGGTTGGGGCTGGAGAGGGGGTTAGTCAGGATGCCCAGAGGCCGTTTTGGCCCTTGCTGGTGTGCTCAGCTCCCTCGTTTAGGCAACTTCTATTTATTGAACATTTACTATGTGGCAGGCATTGCCGTGGGTGCTGGAGGCTGACAAAGGCTGTGACTCACGGAGCTAACGTCCTGGTGGGGGTGCGGGGGCTGCACGAGGAGGCAGTTAAGCCCAGTGGCAGGGCAGTGAGGGCAACACAGCTGTGGGGTGGTGCCCCCACACCCGCCCTGCTCTGCAGCTGGGGGATGGACTGTTGACACTTCAAGGAGACATCCAAGCCCTCTCAGCGTGTCCTGGACAGGCAGCTCCTCCGGCTGCCCCAGCCTGCGGGGTCTCTGTTCAGATTTGTCCAAAAACTGGGAGCCGGCCAAGCTGGAAATTCCCAGTGATCAAATCTTGGGGCAGGGAGAGTATGGCGATATCTGACTGGAGCCTTGAGAGACACGGGCTTGGTGTGAGGGAACTGAAAACACAGTGGATCACTGCCGAGAGAGGGAAAAGCCGGGGGCTGGTCTGCAGGTGACACCCGAGGTTTGGTTAGATTGGTGGGGGAGGCCCAGTCGGGCCCATCCCAGTCACCAGGTGAGGGAGACTTCTGGGGGGAGTCGACACCTTGGGTAACGCTCACCAGCACTTTCGAGGTCTCAGGTGTGCTGTGCCCTGCGCCACCCATTTCACACGTGTGACCTCATCTCACATTAAGAGGGCCGCCTGCCCCGGAAAGCACCAGACACCGTATGTTGAATGGACTCTCACAGAGCCCTCATGACAGCCCTGTGTGGCTGGCACTGTTTGTTCTTGCTTTGCTTGCTGAAGCTGGTCCAGAGGAGGAAAGTGAAACACAGCCATTTAGGCCCCCGCTGGCCTGGCACCATCAGGGCACTTTTTCTTGTTGTGTGTCTTGACTTCTGCTTGGTTTGGGGGGTAGAACTTACATACAGTCAAGTGGACTAATCATACGTGTCCAACTCCGTGGTTTTTTATGCATGCGTACACCTGCGTAGCCTCCATGCACATTAACATCTAGACCATTTCCAGTGCCCCAGAAAGTTTCTTTGTCCCTCTTCCCAGTCGGTTTCCCTCCAAAGGGCAGCCGCACTTCCGATTTCTCTCCCTGGAGGACCACTGCCGCTTCTAGATCACAGCTTTGTGTCTGGCTTCCTTCTCCAACTCGGTGTGTTTACATTTTGTCCACACGTCGTGAGTGGCACTTGGTTGTACTCTCTAGTTCATTACCACGCAGCATTTATTGCATGAAAACTTCATAAATTTTCCATTCTCTGGCCAATAGGCATGTGTGACATTTCCAGTTCTTGTCTATTGTGAATGGAGCCACAGTGGACATTTGCATATGTGTGTTTTGGTAGATTTGGTCACTGTGTCTCTTAGGTTTTTTACTGAGGAGTGGAAATGCTGGGCTCCTAACCTTCACACCACACTGCCCCTCATACAGCACTGCAGCCTGGAGAGGCAGTGCTATGATCCCACTTCACAGAGGGGGAAACTGAGGCTTACAGAGGTTGACAATGGCTTGGTTAGTAAGGGGCTGAGCTGGAACCCAAATCAAGGGGATGTGACCCCACGCTAGGTAGCTGATACACTGCTTTGGAAGCTGGCCCTTTCCTTGGTGCAAGTTCTATTGGAAAAGCCTTTTGACCTTAGTATTCTTTGAAGACATGGGACAGAAGGTCCCTTTTCTTATTACTGGATGGGAGATGCTGGCAGCAATGGGATGAAAGGGGAGGGTAGACGTGAGCACGACATGATGAGAGGAAAACCAAATTACACAGCAGGCAGATGCCAGGCTTCAAAGTCGCAGGTGCTGCTGTGGGCTGTGTGTGACCTCAGGTCCCTCAGAGAGAGCTCGGGATGTCTCCTGCCCGGTCAGTTTTTCAGAGGCAGAACAGCCCAGAGGGCGGTGTCAGGGTTGGGATGGAGTCCATTCCCAACGTCTGGCCAAACACAGGGAAATGGGCGCCTCTGACTCAGGAATCATAGTTTCAAATTTTCAGACTGACAGCCTCAACTATTATAAAATAGGCAACACGGCAGAAAACGCAGCTGCCGTTTGGCCCCCGGAGCCCCAGAGGCCCGGCTGGCAGGGTCAGCTCGGCCTGGACTCCTCCCGGATGCGGACTCCCAGGCCACGCCCCCAGCCTTCCGTGTCTCCCTCCATCGCGCGGCCGAACTCCCACTGAGGCTCTGAATTCCCGTTTCCACCAGCAAGGCATGGCTTTCTGTGCATCCCTGTCCGATGGAGGTGCTCATAAAATGGCATCTCATTCTTCTGTGACTGCGCCTGGCCCTGACTAGTGAGGCCACGTCTTCCCGCATGTCATTTGTGGGGCTGCCCCACGGCAAGGGCTCTCCACCGGCAGTGACTTTGCTCTCTGCCCCCTGGGGACACTGGGCAAGGTCTGCGGACATTTTTTGTTGTCATAGCGTGTGGGTGTGTGTGTGCCCCTGACTCCTAGTGGGTAGAGGCCAGGGACGCTGCTAAACAGTCTACAGCGCTCTGGACAAGCCTGACAGCAAGGAATTCCAGGCCTGAAGTGTCAATAGCGCTAAGCTATCCCACTCCACTCTGAGCAGAGGTAAGACTTTTTTGTCTTAAAAAATATTTAGAGATGCTCTTGACCAATGATAGGCATTAGTCTTTTATCTGTCATCTGCAGGCATCTCCCCGAAACCTGTCCCTTTTAGCTTGTGCGTGCCATCTTTGTCACACACACACAAATCAACGCCATCGCAGCCTCTGAGTGTCCTGTCATGGCTGAGGTCTCCTCACCCTGCGTAGTGTGTATGGTTCCTTATTTCTACATCCAGTGAGGTTTTCACTAGGCCTTAATTTATTGGGAATCAATTTCTGTGATTTTTGTGAATTTTGGGGAGGTGAGGGTTCAAATGTGCTCTTCCACGTGGAGAGCCAGCTGTGGTTTTACCGCGTGTTAAATGGTCGGTCCTCTCCCACTGAACTATAAAACCCCACCGCGGGCACTTTAACCTCCACACACACAACCCTCCGGCTCCTCCTTCTTTTCCAATGCTTCTTGTCACTCTTAATTTAACGGTATCAGATCTCAATTACATGACTTTGTGGTATGTGGTACCACAAAGATCATTTGTCACCTCTATTCTTTTTTCCCCTCTTAAATATCTTTTTGGTCTATTTCAGACATTTATTCTTCTCCTTATTCACTCTCAGGTTCCAAAATAAGGTAAGGTAAGGGAGGCCTGTCCTCCTCCCAAGCTGGGCGGTGCTGCCCTGCTTCCTGCGTCCGGAGCACGGTGCACTTTTCCTCAGTGTCGCTGATCAGACTGTTGTTGGCTCGTCTCGCCTGCCGGGGCCCCACCCTCCTGCCAGCCTTGATCTGTGTCCTGTCCCCAGCAGTGGCATGGTGTTTGGCACACGGCCAGTGCTTGGGAGATACTGGCTGAATGAATGAATCAGCAGATGACCCACATTTTTGTAAAACATAAATACTTTTATCTCGTGTGTTGTTTTGGGAGCAAGGCAGCCAGAGGTTGGCTCCGCCTCTGTCACTGTGAGGGTGTGGGGTGGACAGTTGCTTCTCCCCCTGCCTCGGTGTTCTTACCTGTCCCCGCGGCCTGGGAGCCCCGGGCTCCTTCCACTCTCACACAGCCGGGGGCGCTGCGAGGGCCGGAGAGCTCTGTGGGGGCCGCACCACGCACAGCAAAGCCCCAGGCTGACTTATCACGGAAGCTCAGTGCCCGGGCCCCAGTACTTTTAGAAGACCATGAAAATATTCCAGTTTCTTTTGAAATCAGAGGAAAAAAACTTTTAGGTAAAAGAAAAAGTTTTAATATATATGATGTACTCACCTATCAATGCAGTCATAGAATGTAACTGAAAAATCTTGTTAGTGGAGGAAGGGGTCCAGGACCGCACGAGTGCCAAGGGTGCGGGGGGGTCAGGCTACGGCCCGGGGCTCGGGAGGTGCGTAGTTGGCCTTAGGAGCAGGCAGCCAAGGCAGAGCAGGAGCACCTGGGGAGTACAAGAAGACCACCGCTGGTCTGGGCCTTGCCAGAGATAACACACACACACATGCACGCGCGCATGTGCGTGCGCCTAAAGGTGGGTGGAGCCTCCTCTGCCCCTGGGCTATTACCTGAGCAAACCCAGATCCGAGCTGGCAGACGGACTAGAAGAGAACAGCGGCCAGACAGACCCACTTCCAGACCCGCCTGTACCTCAGGCTTCCGTGTCGCTTAGCCCCTGGGAGCCTCAGTTTCCGCATCTGGAAAACAGTAGCAGTAACGCCTTCCTTGTAGGACTTGCTGGTCATTCGTGTGATCATTTGACACATGTTTACTGAGCACCTGCTCGGCACCGGGCACTGTCCCGGAACACATGCACGGGCTGCCCCGCACACCCAGACCAGTGCCTGGCGCAGAGCAGTCCTCCGTGAGCATTTGCTAAATGGATAATCAGAAGACAGGCCGGGGTAAGAGGGGGTGGCAGGGGATCCCCAAATAAAATAAGTGAATACATTCATAATGCATAGATAATGATAAACAGAAACATATGATTATATCTCGTGTAAAGTGCAAATAAAAAGGGAAGGGAAGGAAAAGAACAGGACACAGTGACAGAGACGATGACCGGCGGTGGAGAGCAGGAGAGCCTCTGCTCAGATGGGGTGTTCAGGGTGGGCGTCTTCGAGGAGGTGGCATTCAAGCAAGGGCCCGAAGGGGAGGATGAGACATTGTTGGGGCAGAGCGTCGCCCCGGCCTGCTCCCAGCCGTGTGCTGTGGTTGCAGGGATCCAGCCCGCGCTCTGGAGCCGGGAGGACGTGCTGCACTGGCTGCGCTGGGCGGAGCAGGAGTACTCTCTGCAGCGCACGAGCGAGCACGGGTTCGAGATGAACGGCCGCGCCCTCTGCCTCCTCACCAAGGACGACTTCCGGTTCCGCGCGCCAGGTTCAGGTCTGGAAACTCACTGGCTTTGCTCTAAACCGATGGAAACCCAGGTAGGCCCAGGGAGAGAGAAGGAGGGGACGTTTGGCTGAGGATCATGCTCACCTCCCAGCACTGCCGACACCACTCTTTCCATAAATGTTTGCCTGCTGGTTCCCACCAGAGCTGGCCAGCAGCAGAGGAGTCAATTTGGCTGCCGTTTTTCCAGCCCCAGGGGTCTGTCCTGCCCCCTCACTTTCCAGCCCATTCCCTGTGGCCCTGTCTCCCCTACCGCACTACTGCCTCCCATCTCCATCAGCAGGAAGCTTGTGACAGGACATGCAGCCACCCAAGAGGCAGGTGACTGAGGGGGAGTGAGGCAGGGCCTCCCCACCCAGCCTGGTCAGCAGCCCCCTCCTGCCCCACCCCAGGTGATGTCCTGTATGAGCTGCTCCAGTACATCAAGACCCAGCGGCAAGCCCTGGTATGTGGCCCTTTGTTTGGAGGGGCCTTTAGGCAGAAGATGCCCAGTCGGTACTGCCCCTACTCCCTGGAAGGTGAGGAGGCCCTTAGCGGAAGTCTGAGACCCTCTCCCAAATCGGCCTCACCGGGAGGGCAGGGCTCCATCCAGGCAAAATCACGACAGAGGCAGGGGTGTGGGAGCTCCCTATCTGCTCCCTGCCCCTCAACCCCCCCCCCCCCCCGGGATACTCTGACAGGCAGCCCGTGGTGCAGTCCTGTGGCTAACAGGCCTTGCCTCTCTTCTCACTTCTCTGCTCTCCTCCACAGCAAAGGGTTGTTTGTATGGTTCTGTTTCTTTTTCTCCTGATCTCTCCATGGAAACGGCTCTGTCGGGGTCTCCAGGGACCTGAACTTAGGGATGACTAGTCCACTCACTGTGATTTCTCACAGCCTCCCACTCAGTAGGCTGTCGTCCGTCCCTGTTCCTCTGGCTTCTAGGACGCCCCACTGGTCATTCCTTCTCAGTCTCCTGGCTTCTCCTCCTCTCTGCTACTTGTACATGTTGGGGCACCGCAGAGCTCAGGGAGCCTGTTCTCCATCTCCACTCAGCCCTGGGGAATCTCACTGGGTGTCGGGCCGGGAGTGCCATCTAGTGCCGGTGACTCCCATGTATACCTGGGCCTCTCTGAGCCCCAGACTGGAGCACCACACACCGCCTGCCCCACCCTCCACCGGGACGTTGAACAGGCATCTCAACTCCTAGAGTGGGCACCTGAGTCCTGCCTCCTTCCAGCTGCTCTGGGCAAAATGTTGGATGTCTTCTTTGTCTTCTTTCTCTCCTAGCCTGGAACTGCCTGGCTGGTCTCCTTGCTTTTACTCTTGATATCCAATGATCTGGTCTCAACAGAGCAGCTGGAGATTCATTAGGTCGTGTGACTTCTCTGCTCAAAACCTTCCAGTGGCTCCCACCTCTCTCGGAGTCAAGGCTACACTCCTTACAATGACCTCGTGACACGCTGCCATCCTCTGCTACCCCCTCCTTGCTCACGCTGCTCCAGCCACACTGGCCTCCTCAGTGAACAAGCCAGAGACACTCCTGCCTGAGGGCCTTTGCACTTGTTCCCTCTGCCTGTCAGTCCCTTCCCTAGATGCCCACATCGCCCTCCTTCAGCTGTCTGTCCAAACGTTAACGTGTGACTGAGACCTTCCCTGACCAACGTGCACCTGCGCCTTTCCCAGGATTCCCTATCTGCGTTATGGTGCTTTATTTTCACTCCCCATATTATATACTGTTTTACTTTTTCATTTTAATCATCTATCTCTTTCCGCACCCAACTAGAATATAAGCTCCATGAAGGCAGGGGCTTTTGCGGGGTCCAGTGATATGTCCCCAGGATTCTTAGAACAATGCCTGGTTCATAGAAGGTTCTCAATAAATACTTATTGGGTGGATGGAGAAGACACTGGACTGAGTGAGACCCAGGGCACCTGGGCCCCAGACCTGGCTCTGTCACCCCTTGCTTTGTGCACAATTTTACAAATGAGGGAACAGGCTTGAGAGACCGTTACTTGTCTGGGAGCTGGGGTTAGCACCGGGTCTGTCTGGCCCTCCCCTCCACTGCCCCCCTGATCTTCTAACAGGGGGCTGGATGCAGGAAGATGGGCAGGAGTGCTGCCCCACTGGGCTCCCAGGCAGCTCACTATGGGGGCCGGGGCTGGGGGAGGCTCTGGTTCCACAGAATCAATGGTGCTCGTTTGCTTGCAGAGGAGACCAGGCCTTCCCAGGTGGGCCCCCAAAGAGGCCTCCTGCAGCAGCCACCAGATCTTGGGCTTACCAACTGCCTGAGTCACCTGGATGCCTCTGGCCTGGCCAGGTGCCCCCTTGGCAGGGAGGACTCCCTCAACTTATCTCACTGTGCGGAGCTCGGCTGTAGGGCCGAGGGCGTCTGCTCCTTCCCCACGGTGCCGAAGGCCCCCGTCGACGGCAGGATCGCAGGTGGGTAGGAGGCTGTGCTCCCCTGGCCTGGGGCCAGGTCACAGGTGACAAGGAGGAGGGTGGGTTTGCTCTGGGGACGAGAGGATCCATCTGTGCTGGGAGGCAGGGGCGTGGGGAGACTGTCCTGTGCTCTGGCCACAATCCGGCCACATGAGCAGTGCCACCTGGGATTGCCAAGCCCACTCTGTCACCAGAGCAGGACAGACCAGTCATAGTCAGACTGTCAGTCAGATTAGCATTTAAAACCTTACCAATTTTTAAATAGTTGAGCACCTGCTATGTGCCAGGGGTGGTTCTTTATTTAAGCCCACGACAGCCCTTGAGGTTGGTGTTATTGTTAGCCCCGTCACAGGTAACGAGGCACAGGGGCGTGGCGTGACCTTCCACGTTCATACAGGCAGTGAGGGCCGAGTCGGGGTGTGAACCCAGGCAGTCTGGTCCAGAGCCCGAGCTCCAACCAGGTGATACACTTCCGTTCTGCATTTCTTGTTAAAGGATTGACTAACAGACAGGCAAGCAGACAGACTGACAGATGAGCACCAAAGGGTGGTTTCTAGCCATGCTGGGGCCACTGTGCTACCATAGAGGGGGAAGGAGCTTGGCTTCTGGGTTGGAAATGACTAGGAATCTCTAAAGCACAATTATTTGAGTTTTTTAAAATGATAATGCTTAACATTGTTTGAATGCTCACTCCGCCCCAGGCACTGTGCTGAGGGTTGTTTTGTTGTCTACTGTGTTATTTCACGCTCGCAGCACACCCTGTGGGGACCTCGGCCTGGAGGCCTGGGTAGCGGAAGAGAAATCTTGGTGCTCCTGGGCTCCCTCTGCTGTTTGTCCCCCACAATGGCACATTTGGCTTTCCTGACTCCCCTGTTAGGATGGAGGTGGATGCTGGAGCCTGATCTAGCAGAGCCCACAGGGCTGAGTGACTGGCCCAGGGGCAGAGAAGGGCCTGGGAGCCGCCTTTGCCTGAGGGGAGGGCATCGGCTTTGTGGTCTGCAGAGCTGGGTTAGACTCCTTGCTCTGCCCGCAGCAGCTGAGTGCCTCGGATGCATCTGTACCTGTCTGAGCCCTTTGCCTCATCTCTTCCTGGGGACAAAGATAGATACTCCCTAGAGTTTGGGTGATTGAATGGGACAATGAGTAAGGGGCCCCTCGTTTCTGTCAATACCGTCATCTTCACCATCCTGCTGCACACGGGGCCCCCAGCGGCAGGGGCCCCAGAGAGCCTTTCTAATGGCCATCCTCACAGCTCCGGGTAAGTGCCCTGTCCGCACCCCTGTGCTCAATTGCAGACTGCCGGCTGCTGTGGGATTACGTGTACCAGCTGCTCTCTGACGCCAGGTACAAGTCCTACATCAGGTGGGAAGACAAGAACGCCAAGATTTTCCGAGTTGTGGATCCTAATGGGCTCGCCAGACTCTGGGGAAACCACAAGGTGAACTTCAGCCAGCGGGCCGGACGGTCTCCACATAGCCAGAGGAGGGCAGGGCCAGGCGGTCAGAGTGGGCCCCTTAGCACCAGGGCACAGTCCCGAACTGATGGGGCTTCACCTGCAGCTCCAGGAAAGGTTGGGGTCCTTTCATTTTGGGACATCCTGAGGGACAGACAGGTTTCTTCCTGATGGTGGGAACTATTCCTGGAACTTGGGAATCTCGTCTTCTAATCGCTTAGTCCCACCTTTGCTTGGCACTGCACCCTTTCAAAGCGGGTTTAAGTGCATTGCACATTGTATGCTGTGGGGGTGGTCGGCCACCTCCCCCGAGGTGAGGAAGCTGGTTCCCTGGGAAAAGCCAGGACAGAAACCCAAGTCCCAGGCCCTGTGGGAGCGTCCGGTGTCAGGGCCCAGAAGGCCTGGGAATCCCTGAATCCAGCATTCCCAGCGCAAGGAGTGCCCGCTCCTAAATGGGAGTCTGCCAGGGGATTCTAATAGCTAAGTATTTACTTTAGTAATAAAATTAGGATAAAATTTAGTAAGAATTAGGGTTTAAAATTTTAACTATCATGTCAATCTCATGACATACAGTGGTGATATAAAGCAAGTGTCCTTATCTATAAATTAATTCATTTAAGTAAAAAAATGAGTCTTTTATAGACAACTGTTAACAATAATGATAATCTGCGGTATGTAGCATTTCCTAAGATGGTATAGCATTTGATTGGCCGGCACTGCTCTGGGGCTTTGCCTGTCTTAACGCATGGCACCCTCGCACCAGCCTGGTGAGAGCAGACATTATCAGATGGGGCCACTGGGGACAGATCCGGTTACCAACTTGTCTGTAGCCAGGAGGTGGCAGAGTGGGGTCTCCAACCCAGACTGTAGCTCTGTCCTCTGTTTTGTCACCTCCCAGTAGTGCCGGTGGCTGGAAGGGTGCAAACGACTCAAGTTCGGGTGCGCCTACCTGGTCCAGTCGCCGCGCAGCGCGGGGTGTGTGTGTGGCTCAGAGTAGTAAACCCATCCGGTGAGTGCACAGTGCATCCCAAGCACTGTGCTCAGTGGATCAGCAATTTAATTCTTCCCTGCAAGTCAGATGCTCTTATCCTCATTTTATAATCAGAGACACAGATTCTGAGAGGTAAAGAAACTCACCCGTGGGTGCAGAGCTGCCAAATGGTGGAGCTGGGGCTTAACCCGACCCCAAAGCCCGGCCGCTTTGCCCCTCCTCTGCCCTGCCGGCCCCTCAGAGAGGGAGAGGTGACCTGGCCCTCGTGGCCCCTCGTGTCTCTGATTACATTTCCAACTAATTGTGTATGTACTTGTTACTGCTTGTGGCATTTGCTATTTAAAAGCAACGTGTGATTTGCTCCTGCCCCATGGTTCCCAGACAGACGAGAGAATCACCCCATTTCTTCCAGACCTTCCTCTGACTTCCTCCTTCCAAACTCAGGAGAACTGTCATGTGCCCCCACAGAACCCCGGGCTGCTCCCCTCCAGGTGTGGAAACTGAGGGTGGGGAGTGGGGGGTGATGTGGGCTGCTTTGCCTTCCAGAACCGGGTGAACATGACCTATGAGAAGATGTCACGTGCCCTCCGCCACTACTATAAGCTGAACATCATTAAGAAGGAGCCCGGGCAGAAACTTCTGTTCAGGTGAGTAGCTTCGGAGTCGAGGTGTGGAGGGGAAGCAGGGCTGGAAGCCTCCACAGCTGGGGCAGCGGCTGATTTGCAGCTGGGACCTGAATTCCAGATTTCTGAAGATACCTGGGGAGATCACTGAGGACAAGGGCAGCCGCCAGGAGCAGCTGGAGAGCCAGGAGCAGGACAAGGTGGACTTCAAGGAGGAGATGCTAGAAGTCTCTCCGTGAGGGGCGAGTGGACTCCGGGCACCGACGGGCCGGAGACTGAGTCTCCCATGAAGGCAGCATCGAGCTGCATGGCCTCCTGCAGGCAGGGCGGCCACGCAGCAGGGCAGTAGGATCGCCGGGCGGGTTTTGCAACTCACAGGATCTCAGCTGTTGTCTCGGACCGTAACGCTGCCTGGGGGACCTGGACCTGCCGAGAACCGGGAGGCTCACACCCAGGACGTGGTAGAGGCACCAGTCTTTGGGTGGGGAAGCCCTGGGGCTGAGTGGGGGCACCGGGCATGAACTTCCTCCCTGCCTTACCCCTGGCTACCTGCTGTGGTAGGGCATCCAGCCAACCGCTTCAGTTCACAGAAGAAGGAAGCAGAGTGTTCCCACTGAGCCTCAGCTTGCCTCATCTGTCAGAGGGGTGTGCTCATGAAAACCCACCCCAGGGATCTGATGTGTGAAACAGACAAAGGATAATTGCTTTGTCAACCTTTAGTAACAATAACAATCATTCGACCTGACATTGAAGTGCTTACTGTGTGCAGGCCTTGTGCTCCGGGTCCAGTTCACACGCCAAGCCCGTGAGGTTTAAAGGTGGGAAAACAGACTTGCAGGGCTGGGTGTCTCTCCCAAACCCGGTGCTGCCTCCCTGTTTTCTGTTGGCAACGTCCCGTGTCTTGGGTGTTTCTCAAGCAGAGGTCATGGCCCTGCCTCTCTGCCCCTGGCATCTTCGAGGAGCAGTCCCCTTGTCCTCAGTTTTCAGTCCTTCAGTGACTCTGTGACTGTGACCAGTGGAGGTGGCCACGTCTCTCCCTGTGGCTTCCTACGCTCCTACACCTGAATCTGCCATGTGACTTTGGGCCAGTCATTCCACTTCTCTGGAGCCTCAGGGTTCTCACCTGTAAAATGGGGATGCCGTCCTGACCGGCCTCACAGAAGCAGAAAACTTCAGTAAGACAACACTCGTGCCATGTTCAGGGCCTGCCTGCTCTGTAAGAGCGCTTACTCACACTAAGAAAACCCTGCCAACCAAAAGCTGCTCTAAAAGTGTGAAAATGGCTCTGCCCCTCCCCCCCCACCCCCACGTCCTGACTGGGGCATCCCGAGGGGCGGAGCTTCTGCCCCTGCACCTCTGGGAGGGGACAAAGCGAAGGGAGTGTTTTCACATAATCGAAAACAGAACTCCCTGGGTTTGCATCTGCTTTCCTGGAAGGAGGAACCGCCTGTGCCTCTTGCCTCCCGATTGTCAGAAAACCCCTGTCTGGCTGAACCTGTGTTGTCCTGAGTCACTGCACAGGGGACGCTGATAAAGATTCTTGGACTTTGGGACTCAACACTGTGACAGCTCGTGAGCAGGGAAACTCCTGGCTGAGTCCCATCTGGGGTTCTCGGCAATTCCACATCCAAAGGGGCCAGGCAGGGGTCTTAGCAAATAGGTTCAGCAGGAGACCCTTGCCCCTTCCATCTTCCCCGAGACTGTTTTCTCTCCGTGACCTTGGTCCAGGGTGGACCCACACCCTGTAGCCTTTCTCATCATCTCTAACCCACAACTGCGTAACGAGTGGTAGGGACTGTCCAGATGAACTTGTCCAACTTCTCCTTTTGTAAACAGCACAGCTGAGGTCAGAGGTGGGGAGTGACTTGCCCAAGGTCACACTGTCCAGCATAGCCTGCTGCCCAGTGACGTTGCCTCATTCCTTCTTGTCTCACATCTTTTTCATGGGTCCAAGATGTGAGGTTTAAATAAGATACCAGAATCATAGGTCATTTCTGCCAGTTACGATGTTGGCTTTTGCCTGCTGGTGTGTCAGTGTTTGAAAACACCTGCGTATCCTAGGGACTGCGTCTTCGCCCCGCACTGGGACTCTTGGGGCCAGGAGTGGGCGGTGGGCTTGGCTAGAGTTCAGCACCCCAGGTCCCCGGTCCTTGGGGTCTCCTCCGGCTCCACCCACTCCCAACCTCTGGGGCCCATTAGGCCGTGCTCTGCACTAGACACCTGGCTGCCGGGAATATAGGGATTCTTCAGCTCTTCATTCTATGAGCAATAAGTGAGCACCTGCTGTGTACCTGGCATCAGGTGAGGCTGTGCGTTTAACTCCATTTTTTTTACAAATTAGATTCCTGAAAACTCATGAGTCACTGAAAACAGTACATGTCAAAATGGACTTCCTCACAAATAATTTTTTTAAGATTTTATTTATTTATCTTTTGAGGGGAAGGAGAGAGGGAGAGAAATATCCATGTATGGTTGCCTCTCGTGCATCCCCTGCTGGGAACTGGCCTGCAACCCAGGCATGTGCCCTGACTGGGAATTGAACCTCGATCCTCTGGTTCGCAGACCTGCGCTCAATCCACTGAGCTACACCAGCCAGGGCCCCCTCACAAATAATTTTTAAAAGCAGAAAATATATTTCATGGTTTGAAAAAGTAGCCAATCATGTCTTTTTTTTTGCCAGATTACATTAATGTCAACAGTAAATAAAGAATTTATGGAAAAAGTGTAATGTAAGAAGGTCATTAACAAAATAGACGATACCAGTCACTGTGCGCGTCCGGTTAAGCCGTTTACAGCATCGGCCCAGGAGCACGGGCTTCATGCTCCTCCATCTTCTCCCTGACATGGGTCCTTAAAAAAAATTATTAAAAATTTTTAAATTTTCAGTTACAGTTTACATTTGACATTATTTTGTATTTCGTTTCATGTGTACAGTGTGGTGGTCAGATGAACATATAATATACTCTAATAACTGTTCCCACACCCGCTAGCACCAGACTCACAATAGTTACTGCAATATTATTGACTGAATTCCCTATGTGCGCTTTCCATCCCCGTGACTCTTCTGTAACTGCCAGTTTAATCCCTTAGCCTTTTTCGTCCAGTCCTCCCAACCCTCTCCCCTCTGGCATCTGGCGTCCGGTCTCTGCATCTATGAGCACGACACCGATTCGTATTGAGAAAGTCCTTTTCCCTCACAAAGAAGCTCCACTCCAGCCTTCCCCCAGCATAGGACTGTGATAGGACTGACATAGAACACTGTGTAAGACGGACACTGTGTAGCACTTTCTCTACCCCTGGTGGCCCCGCCAGGTCTTCCATTCTTACTGCAGGAAGTCGGGTTGATGCTGGGGACCCGCTGTTGTTCTTGTGCAGGATTCTAGTGGGGACAACCTTTCCCGACTTCTTCCTCTGGTCCCTCCCCATGACATTAATCCTCATTTTCTTTTTCTGTTTTTGAGTATATTCTATTGATTATGCTATCACAGGTGTCCCATTTTTCTCCCCTTTATCCCCTTCCACCCTGCACCCCACCCTAGCATTCCCCCGCCTTAGTTCATGTCCATGGGTCGTACATATAAGTTCTTTGGCTTCCATTTCCCATACTATTCTTAACCTCACCCTGTGTATTTTGTAGCTATCATCTAGGATTCTTTTTCTCTGTACCTTTCCCCCATTCCCCCACCACTACCCCTCCTTGCTGATAACCCTCCATGTGATCTCCATTTCTGTGATTCTCTTCCTGTTCTAGTTGTTTGCTTAGTTTGTTTTTGTTTTTTTATTCAGTTGTTGATAGCCATGAGTTGTCATTTATGAATGGTACTGTCATTTATGAATATGTGAGTTGTCAAAACTATGAATAGTACTATGATATAGTATTATAGATATAGTACTATTATAGTACTATATCATAGTTCTATTTATAGTACTATTCATAGTTTTGATTTTTTCTTAGATAAGTTCCTTTAACATTTCATATAATAAGGGCTTTGTGATGATGAACTCCTTCAACTTGACCTTATCTGAGAAGTGCTTTATCTGCCCTTCCATTCTAAATAAAAGCTTTACTGGATGGAGCAATCTTGGATGTAGGTCCTCGCCTTTCATGACGTGGAAAACTTCTTTCCAGCCCCTTCTTGCCTGTAAGGTCTCTTTTGAGAAATCAGCTGACAGTCTGATGGGAACTCCTCTGTAGGTAACTGTCTCCTTTTCTCTTGCTGCTTTTAAGATTCTCTCCTTATCTTTAATCTTGGCTCATGTAATGATGATGTGCCTTGGTGTGTGTTTCCTTGGGTCCACCTTCTTTGGGACTCTCTGAGCTTCCTGGACTTCTTGGAAGTCTATTTCCTTTTCCAGATTGGGGAAGTTTTCCTTCCTTATTTTTTCATATAAGCTTTTAGTTTCTTGCTATTCCTCTTCTTCTTCTGACACCCCTATTATTTGGATGTTAGAACATTTAAAGTTGTTCCAGAGATTTCTAAGCCTCTCCTCATTTTCTTGAATTCTTGTTTCTTCATTCTGTTCCAGTTGAATATTTACTTCTTCCTTCCATTCCAAATTGTTGATTTGAGGCCTGGTTTTCTTCCCTTCACTGTTGGTTCCCTGTAAATTGTGCTTTATTTTACTTTGCACAGCCTTCACTTCTTCATGTACTTTGTGTCTGTACTCAACCATTTCTGTGATCATCTGGATTATCAGTGTTTTGAACTCTGCATCTGGTAGCTTGGTTATCTCATTATCACTTAGTTCTTTTTCTGGGGTTTTAATCTGATTTTTCATTTGGGCCATATTTCTTTGTTTTGGCACACCTGTTACGTTGTAAGGGGAGGAGACTTAGGTATTCACCAGGGCAGGGAAACTCACTTCACCGTGTTGTGGTGCTGTGTGGGGCGGGAGGAGTCAGAGAGGGAACGGTGGTGCTTGGTCGGCTCTCGCCAGCTTTCAATCACTTCTCCTGCTACCCGTAAACAAATTGGGCCCTTCTGGTGGTGATTCCTGGGTGGGTGGATTTGTGTAGGTTCTAGGACTCTCCTGTGAGTCTGGGAGTTTCTCCCGCCTCTGCAACCCTCACAGATTTTTACAGCCAGAAGTTTTGAAGTTGAGTTTCCTGAGCTGAGGCCCTGCGTTGCATGGTATACTCACTGCCCAGTTGTTCCTCCTGGTGTATCTGCACACGAATGTGGGGTATCCCTGTCCACCGGCCACCACCTTGCCCACCTGGCCCACCACCTGGCTGCACATCCTTCTGCCCTGGCTTCCTGTCTCTGCCCCTCCTACCAGTCTGGATTAATGTTTCTTCTTCAACTCCTTGGTTTGTTGGACTTCTACACAGTTCAATTTTTCACAGTTTTGGTTGTTTTCTGCTTCTCTGTCATCTTTCTTTTACTTGTGTGAGGAAGCAAAGCACGTCTGCCTACGTCTCCACCTTGCCTGGAGGTGACCGCTAATCCACGTTTTCTACTCAAGTGTTCTTTCAGCATCCCCCCACCCTGCTCCCTCTGGTAAACACCATGCTGTCTCTGTGTCTGTGAGGTGCTTTTGGCTTGTTTAATCCCTTCACCTTCTTCACCCGGCCCCCCAAACCCCTCCCTCTGACAGCCATCAGTCTGTTCTCTGTATCTATGAGTCTGTTTCTATTTTGTTGGTTAGTTTATCTTGTTGATTATATTCCACATATGAGTGACCTGGTTTATTAGGTCAACAGTTTTAGAGACACACAGAAAACACATACATTTGCAGATCAAGGGCTTGGTGTCTGCGAACCGTTCAGTGCCTGGTGGCAGAGGCAAAGGTGGTGCTGGCTCATCTGGAGCTGGTCCAAGGCTGGGGTCGGGTCCCCTTCCCCGCACTGGCTTGGCCACTCCTGGGACCTCTGAGCTAAGCTGCCACCAGGGTGGCCCCAAGGTTAGGGTGAGGAGTTGAAAGTGGGTTGTCCTGAAATCAGAACAGGCATATTTTAAACATTTAAAATTATAATCTTAACTTTTAAAAAAATTATTGATTTTTATAGAGGGGAAGGAGAGTCAGAGAGAGAGAGAGAGAGGCACTGACTTGTTGCCCCAGTCATTTACACAGTTACTGGTTGACTCTTGTATGTGCTCTGACCGGGGCTCGAACTCACAGCCTTGGCCTATTGGGATGATGTTCTTATCGGGACCTACTTGGCCAGGACATAACCTTAATTTAAAAAATTCCCAAACCCTTGTGAGTTAACCGCCTGAGTGAGGAGGGTGAGGGCTCTGCCCTTGGGCGTCCCCTCACCACTGAGGAGGCAGCTGTCGAGCAGACGTTGTGAGTGAGGGGCAATGGACGGGTGCCCCCGGGCCGGCGGTGACAAAGTGGCACTGGTGAATGCTGCTTGGCAGGTCCAGGGAAAGCGTCCCCAGGGAGGATCATCAGGCTTCTGCTCTGCTTTCCCTTTTGGAGGGTGAGGCGTGGAGGTGGGGAGGGCAGTGGGTCATCCGATCCCGAGGGCTCAGGGAGAATGCGGGTACGGGGGGACCGGGAGGAGGCTGACTGCAGAGGCCTGTCCTGGAGGGAGGACAAGGTGCCCCAGGGGTGTGCTTGGGTCAGCTTGGCTCCCTAAGACGGGGAAGTAGACCAGGGTGGGGCCGAGACTCCCGAGCGAGAGGAAGGAGCCTTTCAGGAGAGGGAGGGGCTGTCCTGTATATGACCCACGGGGAACAGCAGTCCCACATCACATGCTCCACTTCTTGGGCAGCTGCTCTGTGAGGAGGAAACCACACTGCTGATGCCAGTCCACGGGGCGCCTGCTGTTCACCCAGCAGACTTGATGGAGAAGCGTGGTCCCAGGCCTGTGCTGGGGGCTTCCCCACAGCACGTCATGGGAGCCTGGCTTCCTCTGACACCCAGGTCTAGGCTTGGGGTGATTAAAACTATGCCCTTAGAACGAAATGAATTGAGAACGAGAAATGATGAGAGGAGCAGCTCTCCTGGGACAGGGGCTCAGTACAGGCAGGGAGTGTGCCCCCTCAGGGCCCCACCCGGGCATGTTAGTCTGCGGGGAGGGCCGAGCAGGGTTCCATACTCAGCGTAGGCGGGGCTGCACCGGCACACTGGGCTCTCAGGTGTCTTCGTTTTTGCTCGGATTTTGTGAACTCCATGAGGAAATGCTAACACATGAGGCTCGTCACGGCTTCTACTGCAAGTGCAAAGCCTTTGATGACAACAAATAATACAGTAAACAATAAACACAATTAATGGTAAACAAATATAAAAATATGCACTTTGGTAGACAAAATCTTTCAGAATCTGATGTGCATGGAGCAAAAACAAGGATTTTTTGGCGGGAGGTGGTATTTGTGTGTGTTCTTTGGTGATTCATAGAGGCTCATGCAGAAATGAACTCTGCTGCTGGGAACTTTGAGGTCTGGGCAAGGAGAATTCAGACCCCCCCTCCCCCCCGCCCCGAGGAACAGAGATGAGCAGAATGAACAAATGAGTCTTCTCCTGCCCTCCTCCAGGTAGTTTCCCGGGCTGTCACCCAAAAATCTGGAATAAAGTTTGGGAAGGAGTGTCCCTTCCAATCCCAGGGCACTCCTCAGCAGCCCCTGAGTCTTGTTAATAATTCCTCCCAGTAAGAGAGACCTCTCCGACTCCCGCAGCCTGTGCCTGCGGCCCAGCGGAGCTCTCACAAACCGTGCGGGGGCGCCTTCTGAAACTGTAAGAGACTGTAGTCTGGCTTCATTGCCTAGGATTCCGGGAAACAGGCCCTCTCCATGAAAGGGTCTGCAGTTTAAACCTATGTCCACCAGGTGGCGCAAAACGTCTTGGGCTGGTGATGGGGACTGCTGTTCGCTGCCGAAGACAGCATGCCTGCCTCTACTGGGATGTGAGTACTACTCTCCAGCTCAGGCACAACCCATAAGTAGACATTCAGGCCTTGCCTGAACACCTCCAGTGACAGGGAGCTTACCGCCAGGGCCTCCAGGGGCAGGGTAAGTAGCATGAGTAAGGGTGGAACTGAAGGTACCAGAAAGCCACCTGTTCAATGATGTTACCCTTTCCCAACCCACGGGTCAATGGTTTCTGAAGTTACTACCTTCCCAGTCTCTTTTCTGGGAATCACTTATGCCTTTTGATTTTCACTGTATCCCTGAGTAATTTATTTACTTTCTGAGCAGAGGCCCCAATGAACTCTTTTATTTTTTCTAAATCAATTTTTTTCTTAATTTAAGGTTTTATTTATATTTAGAGAGCGGGGAAGGGAGGGAAAAAGAGAGGGAGAGAAACATCGATGTTTAAGAGATGTTTGTCTGATCAGTTGTCTCTCTCACGCCCCAAGCTGAGGATCTCCCCGAAACCCAGGCCTGTGCCCTGACTGGGAATTGAGCTGGCGAACTTTTGATTCACGGGCCAGCACTCAGTTCATTAAGCCACACTCTCCAGGGCTTTTTCTAAATTTTTAAATTGAATTTATTGAGGTGATATGGTTAATAAAATTATGTAGGTTTCAGGTGTACAATTCTATGATACACCATCTGTATATTGTATTGTGTGTACACCACTCAAAGTGGGCTCTCAGATGTCTTCGTTTGGGGAAGTTTGGGAAGGAGTGTCCCTTCCAATCCCAGGGCACTCCTCAGCAGCCCCTGAGTCCCGTTAATAATTCCTCCCAGTATGAGAGACCTCTCCGACTCCTGGGGGTGCCTGGGCCTGGGACTCCAAGTCCAGTCTCCTTCCTTCACCATTCATCTCCCCTTCACCCTCTTCTACCCCCCCACCCCTTTCCTCTGGGCATCGCCACACAGTTGTCTGTGTCTATGGGGTGTTTTTGTTTGTTTGTTTAATCCCTTCACCTTTTTCACCCGGCCCCCCAAACTCCTCCCTCTGACAGCCATCAGTTTGTTCTCTGTATCTATGAGTCTGTTTCTATTTTGTTAGTTTATCTTGTTTATTAGATTCCACATAGGAGTGAAATCATATGGTACTTGTCTTTCTCTAACTGGCTTATTTCACTTAGCATAATGTTCTCCAGGTCCAACCACATTGTCGCAAAGGGTAAGATTTCCTTCTTTTTTACAGCTCAGTAATATTCCACTGTGAAATGTACCACAGCTTTTATATCCACTCATCTACTGATGGGCACTTGGGCTGCTTCCAAGTCTTAGCTACTGTAAATAATGCTGCGTGATAAACACAGGGTGTCTATAGTCTTTCAAATTAGTGTTTTGGGTTTCTTCCGATACATTCCCAGAAGTTGAATTGCTGAATCATAAGGCGGTTCCATTTTTTATTTTTATTTTTAGTAACTCCATACTACTTTCCACAGTGCTGCACCAGTCTACATGGGCACCAACAGTGCACTGGGTTCCTTTTCCTCCACATCCTGGCCAGCACTTGTTGTTTGTTGATTTATTGATGACAGCCACCTGACAGGTGTGAGGTCATTGCGTTTCCCAGTAAGACCTTTGACAAGTCTGGGACACAGGCCAAGGGTGTGAAAAGCCTGTCCACCCTTGTCCCACACACGCAGGCCCTGAAGGAATCAGAAGGCCTAAGGCTCTGTCCATTCCCTAGTGACTTCAGTGAAGTCAGACTTCTGGGCCTCAGTTTCCCCACCTGTGAAATAATACCAGCACCCTCTGCTCTGTGTGCCACATTAAGTTGTTCAGAAACCTCAAATGAAAGAATGTGTTCATTTATTTAACAAGTATTTATTAAGCATCTACTACAGGGTGGGGCAGTAAGGTTTACAGTTATTTGTATGGAAAATAATACAATAATTAATAAATAACAATACCAGAACAAACTGTGTTTTGGGTACTCACAACTGTAGCCTACTTTTGCCCCACCCCGTATATGCTGGGCATCGTTCTAGAAACTGGGGAATACGGCGGCAAGGAAGTCCGTGGAATAAACAGAAAGTTGCAGCTCAAGTGCCCGGAAGAGACTGAGAGAGTCATGCAAAGGGGCAGCCTCACCCTGAGCCACCAGAGACGTGAAGAGCACGTGAAGGAGGAGCGAGTCTCTGGCACCTACAACTCTTTTCCCGTGGTCCCCCTTCCACGCGGCCTCGGCTCCCACGGCCGGAGTCCTGCCTGAGAGTCACGGAGGTTGGGCGCAGTGCGACGCAGCCCGAACGGGCAGGCGCACTGTGGCCGGGAAGGTCGGAGGGATACCGGTTGCCCCGAGCCCTGCCTTTCCACACCTGTCCTTGGCCTGTGGAGGAGCCACAGCTAAACCCTAAAGTGTGGGGGCGACTTTGCCCTCAAGTGCCCCCCCCTCCCCACCCGCCACGCATGAAAGTAAGCACCAATTTCCATACTCTAAGGCGTGCTGTCCCTGGCGTTGGCTCGTGGCCTCCTGGCCTCTGGATAAGAAAACCACTCAAGGGGCGGTAACAGTAACCTTTCCTCTTATCTGTAACCTCCCCCACCCGGGGCCTTACCGAGAGTTGCCCCTGGTCCCTCTGGGGATGAAGTGCTCATTTCTGTCCCTTAGGCATGCTGTCTATGGCATTGGCTCATAGCCTCTGGTTCGAAGCAGGTCCCGAACCATCAGGTCCCTGTCCCGGGCGCTAGATATGGGGGCAACTTTGCCCGCAAAGTCTCCCTGTCTGCCGCGGATGAAAGTAGACACTACGAAGACATGACCTGCTTTGGGAGGAAAGGTGGCCGATCCCTCAAAGGGGAAGGGCCAAAAGCCCCTGCTTCAAGGGGCTTTTATTGGGTTCATTTGCACAAGAATACAGGTCAGGATCAAACAATAGATAGCATTCAAAGAACTATGAGGGCTAATTCTCAGTCAGGGTCAGATAGCTAAAGAACCACTAAACTTTGAGGAACGAACTTTTTGCTTGGACCCTTATCATTTAAATGAGAGCATTCTAAACGAAGCAGGTTTCACAGGATTTTACATATTCCTTCTTAGGCCTGATCACCCGGGGAACCTGCCCTTTCCAGCACAGGGCTGCACCGCCTTCCCTATCATGGTTTTTAGGCTTAAGTGGATTAGAGCAGGAAGCACTTCTCCCAATAGCGGGGTGGGGGGGACAAGGGTCCATCACTCCCTCTTTGTCGCAGCCCCCTGAGTCCTTCCTTGATGGCCTCTCAAGTGATCGTGTCTGGCTTAGGTTGACCCTCGCTGTGAGGAGTCTTACCTGTCATGGACATTGACCATGCTTTGGGGGCAGGGGTAAGCTGAGGCAATGTTTGCTACCAGAGACAAGCTTTGTCTCCTGTGGCTCACATTCCGGAGGTCGCTCACTCGGTCTTAGCCATGGGAGTAGTTACAATTCCTGAAACCAGGCAGAGCGGTTCCCAACACTAAAGTCTCCTGACCGGACCTCTAAACACTCCAGGCCAGGCCCATCTAAACATCCCACTTCAAGGACTTGCCTTGTATTGTTGAAATTGCTCTGGCTGGAAAGCCCCAGCGTTCCCCAGACGACATTGAAATCCCAGCCAGTCCGATCAGAAAGGAATTCCCCTTGGTCATAGGGTCACGCTGTCCAGCCAGTGACACGCTCGGGTTCTCAACGTGTAGGTGGGGTGGGGTGCACGTCAGAATCCCAGGGACCAGATGCCTGGGGCGGGGGCTGGAGTGGGGCGCAACTCTCCGGAGAAATTCCGACACAGCTGAGGAGGCCTTTTCTCCCCACCAGCCCTCGGGGCATCACAGTGTTACCGAACAAGAGGAGGAGGAGGTCCGAGGGAGGGGCAATACAATATTTGGCCCATCCAGGGATGCCCAAAACTGCTATACAACAGGGGCCCCTCCCGAAAACCAAAATACTAAAATCTACTGGGCCCTTCTGTCCGCCACCAATTGGAAAGACATCTCTTAAAGCCAGAGATTTGTGAAAAGGAAACAAAATGTTTATTTAATGCTATTCAGGCCTAATGCCACCACTAAAATATCAAAGTCCTTTATGTATACACCTACACCCACACAGCGCTCCCCTTCTCCCACTGTCCCAACTCCGGGTACCGTAAATCAGGAAAAGAGCACACGTCTGTGTTGCAGACCGCTGGCACCGTCAGCTGTGTCACTGTGCAGGATCTCGAGTTAATCCAAAGTACTGTGGTACCCTCTCATGGTCCACTGGCAAGAGTCCTTTGTACCCAGTTCCAGTCAAAGTCTCTGTTGCTTTTCAGGCCCCGTGGCCAAAGGGGGCACCCCAAAGCCGCGTGGGCCTCTTCTACTAAAGCTGCAGGAGTCCGCACTCTACCAAAAGCATGTGGCTTTCTTCTTCACCTGGCTGCAGGGATCTCCCTTCTGGCAAAGCTGCGTGGTTCTTCCCTTTCACCTGGGAAAGAGGGGGTCCACACCCTGCCAAAACCACGTGGCTCCCTCTTTCACCTCACCTAGAGGGGGTCCTCACTCTGCTGAAACCGCTTGGCTCTCTCTCCATCTGGCCAAGCGGGGACCATTCATGTCCTGGAGCCAGTCTTTTCCAAGCTCCCACACAGGCACTCTTCACTCCGGAGCGCAGACCCTAGTTCCCAAGTTGAGTCCCAGTCCTTCTCACTCAGGAGTGCAGACTTTAGTTACATCCTCCTGAGTCCAAGCCTTTCTCACTCAGGAGAGCAGCCCTTAGTTCCCATCTTGAGTCCCTGCCACTACCTTCTCCCTTCTCCCTTCTGCTCCAAACTTGGCCACTGCTATTTAACATATCTATGAAACCAGTTAAAGGTTATAGATATGTTAAATAACCATTCCTCCAGAGGTTAGCTCCAAAACTGTTGCTATGCAAAATAGCTCTCAATGGCCTGGCTCTATTCATCCCTTCCCCCTGGGGGGGGGGAAGTGAGGACATCTTAATATGTCTCTCTAATATTTCTATACACTTTGAATTCTGGACACCATTCCAAATCTGTTTTTTTGGGGGGCCCCCTGGCTGCACCCTGTATCAACAGTGCAACCCGGTTTCCAGGACAGGGAAGCTGGAAATCAGATTTGGCCGGGCAGCCCGCAGGGCTTGGGGCCGGCTTTCATCCGGACGCCCTTCCAAACTGTGGAAGGGGCACCGCCAATGAAAGTCTAAAGTGATTTTTTAAAAAAGGTTATGTTTTCCTGGCTGAACAGTGAATAATTCACCAACTTGGGACTTTCTTAGCCACAAAAAGGAAAAGAGGAGGAGGTCTGACCTAGATCTGACAGCGGAAGGTCCCCAAAGGGACGCAGAACAGAAACGAAGGCTGGAGGCTCAACTACACCGTCATCATGAGCAAGGTGAAGTGCGTTTCTGATCATACGAATTCATTCACCCGACCGTGCAGCGGGGGAGAGGTGCCGGGATGGAAATGGAGCTCCCCTCCTGAGGCAGCCGGTCCCGATGACCCCGCTCCTCCGGTGGGAGGGAAGGAGCTACTGCGTGCCTCACCGCTGCCGCAGACAAACGGGAATGTTGGGGCTTCGCGTGATGGACGCTTGTTTCTCAGTCACCCAGGGCTGGTTGGTGGGGCGGGGACCCAGGCCGGTGGAGGCGCTACTCTCTTCCTCATGTGGTTTCCATGTTGGAGGTTGACCTCCAGCCAGCAGGTGGGGGAAGAGACAGCACAGAGGACTGGGAAGGTGTTTGAATGGGCCAGACTGAGGGGGGACGCATCCATCATTTCTGCCCACATTTCACTGCCAGAATCAGGCAGCTGCAATACTGATACAGGGTGCAGCCGGGGGGGGGGGGCAAAAAAAGATTTGGAATGGTGTCCAGAACTCAAAGTGTATAGGAATATTGGAGAGACATATAAGATGTCCTCACCACCCCTCCCCCAGGGGGAAGGGACAAATGGAGCAGGGTCATTGAGAGCTGTTTTGCATTGCAACAGTTTTGCAGCTAACCTCTGGAATGATTATTTAACATATCTATAACCTTTAACTGGTTTCATAGATATGTTAAATAGCTATGGCCAAGTTTTGAGCCAGGGAGAAGGGAGTGGCTTCTACCCAGGATGTAACTGGGGGCAGTTCCCCCAAGTTACAGTGCCTGCATGAGAGCTTGGAAAAGATTGGCTCCGGGACATGAGGGGATAACTCAGGTGAGGAGAGAGCAACGTGGTTTCAGCAGAGTGCGGACCCCCTCTTTCCCAGGTGAAAGGGAAAACCACGCAGCTTTGCCAGAATGGAGATCCCTGCAGCCAGGTGAAGAAGAAAGACACATGCTTTTGGTGGAGTGCAAACCCCTGCAGCTTTGGTAAAAGAGGCCCATGCGGCCTTGGGGTGCTCCATTTGGCTGCGTGGCCTGGGAAGCAGGAGAGACTTTGACTGGAAAAATGGGTACAAAGAACTCTTGCCAGTGGACCATGAAAGGGTACCACAGTACTTTGGATTAACTCGAGAGCCTGCACAGTGACACAGCAGGTGGTGCCAGCGGCCTGAAACACAGACGTGTGCTCTTTTCCTCATTTACGGCACCCGGAGTTGGAACAGTGGGAGAAGGGAGAGCTGTGTGGGTGTAGGTGTATACCCTAAAAGACTTTGATATTTTAGTGGAGGCATTAAGCCTAAATAGCATTAAATAAACATTTTGTTTCCTTTTCACAAATCTCTGGCATTGAGAGATGTCTTTCCAATTGGCGGCGGACAGAAGAGCCCAGTAAATATTAGTATTCCGTCCTTGGGAGGGACCCCTGTTGTGTAGCAGTTTTTGGCATCCCTAGGTGGGCCAAATATTGCCCCCCCATCTCTTGTTCTGTAACAATAGCAAATATGTTCCTTGCTCCTTCTGAAAGGTTTGCCATTTTTATTCATACCGCTCTCCACCCCTTTCCTCCTGCTCCACGGCCAGGAGGCTCCTCACCTGTGGGGCTGTACCGGCGGGCTCCCTTGTCCTCTGCTTCTAGGGGGGTTTGTCAAGAAAGCCACTGGCAGAAGATCAGAGGACAGTGTGGCTGAGTGCCCCTCAGTATCCCGCAGTCCCTCGCCAGCTTCCACCGCCTGGCGATGTTCCTCCACTGAAGGGCCAGCTTCTGTCACCGCCCGCCCCTCCCCCCCACGCCCCAGTCACTCCCTTCAATTGGTGCGTCTCCATTTTCTCTATGTGTCCTTTCAGGCAAAGCGGTGACAACTCCCAGTGCTGCTGGTCCAGGAAAAAGCATCGTCATTTGTTATTCCCTACACTCTGCCCTCACCCTTGTAAATGGTTTCATTACTAACTGTACATGTGGCTCAGAATGAGTGTGCCATCTGTCCCCTGCTGTGACCAGCTGCGTGTGGGCACACAGACAGGCAGACACTCCCCAGGGTGCAGAAAGGCCTTTTTAGTGACAGCCAGCTGCCTCTGCCCTTTTTCCTCTGGGCTCTGCTTTTGGGCCTCTTCCCATAGGCTGTTTGTGTGTATGGCTTTGGGCATGTGGCCTTAGGCAATGTCTCTTCTCTGCACCCCAATTTCTCATCCATAAAATGAGGGGCTGGGCCAGGAAGTGCATTCAACTGACCTTCAGTAGCCCCTCCAGCCGCATATATTATCTCAGTTGCCCTGAGCTACTTGGCTCCTTACCTATGAACTGAAACGCAACTTTCTCTTTCTGGCGCCAGAAGAGAGGTACGCCCACAATCAATTGCCTGTCATGCATCCTCTCCTAACTTCCTTTCGTGCACTGGATTGTGTCCCCTCCAAAGTCATGTGTTGAAGGCTCAACCCCAGGTACCTCAGAATGTGACTGTGTTTGGCGATGAGGCCTTTAAAGAGGTCATTAAGCAAAAACAAGACCGTTTGGTGTGGCCCTAATCCAATGGGACCAGTGCTTTATAAAGAGAAGAGATCAGGACCCAGAGAGACACCAGGGGTAGGTGCTCACACAGTGGAAAGACCATGTGAGGACGCAGCGAGAAGGCAGCAGTCTGAAAGCCAGAGAGAGGCTTCAGAAGAAAGTAAACACCTTCACCTTGAACTTCCAGCCTCCAGAGTTGTGAGAAAGTACATTTCTGGTCTTAAAACCACCCAATCGTCAGTACTTTGTTATGGTAGCCCAAGCAGACTAACACCTGTCCTATTCTGGGTTCCAGCCCTTTATAGCTTCTCTGCGTTATCTTTGTACTTTGATAAGTTAACTTGTGATGTCCCTCAATAACAGGTCTGTACTTGAAACATCCATCTTCAACGCCGAAACCCTAAGAGAGTAAAACAGGTATCAGCTCCTCTTGCCATCCTGCTAATACTTGATTTTGCATATGGGAATGGCTCCTCTCACACTCCATCCTGTCCTTGGCAATGGCTGAGGGCCCTGTAACCCAGGCAAGGTCACTGACAGTGGCTCATTCCCCCTGATCACTGCAATTGGCACAGAGATGGCACGTGACCCGTTAGAGTCCTTCCCTGGAATTTTTCTAACTTTCTGCCAAGGAAGTTATCCCCAGACTGGTGGTGGCCATGTCCTCTGCCATGAGGGGAAGCCAGAGCAGAGGGAAGGTGGGCCGAGGTCCCAACAGGGTCTGGCCTCCTAGTTCCAATCCTTGGGATTTCTGAGCTGTCCTGATCCTGTGGATTGCCCTTCAATTTTATTACAACCCCAATTGCTTTCTAATAGATGTCTTCCCCCTTAAGGTGGTTTGTCTTGTGCAGATGAGAAAGCTCTGACTTCATTTGGAGGAGGAAGTGTAATTTTTAGTCAAAGGGTTGTTTGGGACCTTTCAAGGTCACTTCTGGGCCTGGCACACATTTCTGTCCTGAGACGTGAGTTCCTTGTCACTAGAGGTTTTCAAGCAGAGAGGGGATCTCCCTTGGGATGAATCAGAGGGACTTCTGCATTGGAGTTCAAGAGTTTTAACTGGGTGGAATCAAAGATTCTCAGTAATAATCACCAGTCCCATTGTGTACGGTCTCCACCTGCCGGGATCAACGGCCTGGGTTTGAATATGATTCTGGTTTTCTCAGGCATGCATGGATCAAGAGTGTGTGAGCATCACAGTCGTATGCCATCTTCATAAAATGAAAGACAAAAGCCACGTGGTCCTTTCAATAGGCACAGAAGAAACATTGGACAAAGTCCAAATCGTTTATGATGAAAATACTCAACCAACGAAGATTAGAGGAAAACTTCCTTGACCTGATAAACCTTGTTAAGAATCAGTAAAAGGCATCCAGATTGTTCATAGGGGACATGATGTTGTATATAAAAAGTCCTAAGGAAAGCAATCTACTAGAGCTAATGAGTGAGTTCAGCAAGGTTTCAGGATACAAAATTAATCTATAAAAGTCAGTTGTATTTGTCTACACTAACAATGAACAATCTGAAATAAAATTTTAAAACAATTTTATTTATAATAGTATCAAAAATTAAAATACTTAGGAATAAACTTAAAGTGCAAAAACTAGGCTCTGAAAACTACAAACCACTGTTGAAAGAAATGGAAGATCTAAATAAATGTGCAGACATTCCATGTTCATGTATCAGAAGGCTTAACATTGTGAAGATGGCAACACTTTTCAAACTGATCTACAGACTCAGTGTAATTCCTACACAAATTCCAACTTCTTCTTTTTTTTCAGAACTAGAAAAGCTGGTCCCAATACTCATAAAGGATTGCAAGTGACCCAGATACATAAAACCATCTTGAAAAGAAAACCAAAGTTGGAGGACCGACACTTCCCAATGTCAAAGCTCACTGCAAAGCTGCAGTGATTAAAAACAATGTAGAACTGGCATAGAATAGAGATACGGATTGGTAAAATAAAACTGAGAATTTGGAAATAAACCCATTTATGTATGGCAACTGATTTTTGATAGGGGGGAAAATAGTCTTTCAAAAATAGTCTTTCAAAAGAATACCAACTGGTATTCATGTGGAAAACAGTGAAGCTGCAGCCTCACCTCACACCATGTGCAAGAATTAACTCAAAATGGATCAGAGACATAACTCCAAGAACTGAAACTATAAAACTCTTAGAAGAAAACATAGGAGTAAATGTTCATGACCTTGGATTAGGCGATAGTTTCTTAAATATGACACCAAAAGCACAAACAACAAAAAAATAGACAAATTGACTTCATCACATTTAAAAGAAACTGAGAAGACGACACAAACATTGGAGAACATAGCTCTAAAACATACATCTCACAAGGAACTGGCATCCAGGATACATACAGAACACTCACAACCCAATAATAAAAAGCCAAATAACCCAAATTAAAAGTGAGCAAAGGACTTGAATAGACACATCCCCAAAGAAGATAAATAAATGGCTGATAAGCCCATGAAGAGATGCTCAGTCATGAGGTAAATGTAGGTCAAACCACAGTGAGAAGCTGCTTCACATCTACTGGGATAGTTATAATGAAAAAGATGGGCAATACCAAGTGTTGGAGGGGATGTGGAGAGATTGGAGCCCTCGCACATTGCAGGGATGAATATAAAATAGTGCAGCTGCTGTGGCAGATGGTTTGGTGGTTTCTCGAAAAGCTAGTGTAGCTTTACCATAGCATCGAGTGCCCTCATTCCTACGTACACAATCAAGAAAGTTGAACATATATGTCCACAAAGAATTGTGAACAAATGTTCAGAGTGGTATTATTCATAATAGCTGAAGGTAAAAAAACAACCCAAATGTCCATCAACTAATTAATGGATTAACAAAGGTGGTATAGTTATACAGTGGAATGTTATTTAGCCATAAAAAGAACAAAGTTCTGATACATGCTATCCTATGAATGAACCATGAAAACATGCTAAGTGAAAGAAGCCAAATACTGTACAAAACCCCACATATTGCAGGATTCCATCTATGTGCAATGTACAGAACAGGCAAATTCACAGAGACAGACCACAGATTAGTGGCCACCGGGGGTGGAGGCAGGATGAACGGTGAGTGAGTTAATAGGTGTGGGATAGCTTTTTGCAGTGATGAAAATGTTCTAAAATTAGATAGTGATGATTGATACACAACTCTGTGAATAAATTAAAAACCATTGAATTGTACAATTTAAAAGGGTGAACTTTATGACATGTCTCTTTATGAATTAGGTATCGATAAAACTTATTAAAGAGAAAAACTGAGCCTCTCTAGAGTTTCACCTTCCCCGAAGACACGGCAGGTCAAGGGCACTTTTCTAGGACTATGGGCAGGAGATGCAGCATAAGGGTGAAAACGCAGGCTTTGAATCTTGATGGTCGTGAGTTAGAACTGCCTGCTTTCACCTCTTACAAAACGTGGAATGTTAGGACTCTGAGCCTCTCATCTAAAATGAAATTAATTCCTACCTTGTAGGGTTCTTATGAGGATGAACTGTTTGGTAGCTTAAAGTACTCAATAAATGACAGCTATTAGAATTATTATTTTCTCCTGGACACAGATGAATGAGGCCTATGGAAGGCAACCTTGGCCTTGGACAAAAGGTGGAAAGAAGAGGCCTAGCAGTCTCATGTTAGACGTTAAGTGTTTGTGCCAAAGCCAGCCCAGGCTCTCCTTGGCGGGGCTGGTGACTCTGCTTTCAAATGAGCAGCAGCAGCTGGCCAATTAGAACCCAAATCTCAGAGGGACTGACTTTT